TGGCCACCCTTGGAGAATCCAGTCGCCTGTGGTTAGCATTAAATCAACATTCCCCACTACTGACCAACTTCAAACTGATGGTCAAAATGAAGTCGTTAACCAAAGTCCTGGCAATTTATTCAAGTCTCTAGTCCAGAAAAATCTTAGAAATTGGGACTTGATTCCCCCAACTGTTCAAATTGCGTATAACAATTCTGTAAATCGGTCTCTAGGTTTGAATCCATTTGAAGCTGTTCATAGTTATAAGTGTAGGCGGCCGTTAGACCTTATTTTCATGTCCCCACATGCTAGTGTGTCGATATCAGTTGAAGCATTTGTGCATTATCTTCATGACTTGCATATTAAGATCAATAAACAACTTCACGCAAGTAATGCATTATATAAACTTCAAACTGATTTGCATAAACAATATTTTCAATTTCATATTGGGGATTATGTTATATTGCAAGTCGGTAGTGCTAGTCCTTTTAAAGTTTTAAAGCATGTTGGTCCATACGCACATGTCATTAATTTTTCATCACATTTTGGCCACCACTCTACTTTACATATTGAAGACTTAGTTACTTACAAAGGCCTTTTTAATTTCCTTGATGATTCTTTTTCACTTCCTTATGTGGATCCCCAACCTAAATATATTACCATTTTCACTCCAATAACACATGTCACAGCACACAAAGATGTAATTGATGCTATTTTAGATAAACAGGTTGTGTTGACCAATGAGGAAGATTTTGGAGATGAGTGGCATGAATTTTTACTATTGGGAGTTCAGTATCGGTATGTGATTACAAAGAAAGATCGTCCTCCTTGGTTGGATCATATCCTTGAGGATAAGCTACAACTATCCTTGTTAGCATTTGTGGAGTTTCAGTATTTGGTCATCGAGAAAGATCGTCCCCCGTGGCATGACTTGGAGCCTTTCGCATCAGATTCTGTGCAACATTCTGCTTTATCTACTCCACGAGGGCGAGTTTTTCTCCCACCCCAGGAGAGTTGATGTGGACATCCATTTATTATTTATTTTTAATTTGAACTATTAGTTATATTTTATTTGGACTATTGTTTATGTTTTCGTTATTGGGCTTGTTTAGTGGGTTTGGCCCAAACTATTCTTTTTAGGGTTTGTGTTCTGCTATTTATTTCTGTTTTGTTTCTCATTTGAGACAGTTGATGATGAATTAGAATTGAAAGTTGATTTTGGCTTGCAGCAACCGTTTCCCCCCTTGCTTCTCCCTTTCTGTCCCCTGGTCTCCCCTCATTCCCCCTTGTTTCTCTTCGGTTCCTCCCCCTTTCTTACTGCTTCCGCCTTCTTCTTCTTCTTCTGGTTATGCTATATTCTGCCTGTTCTAACTACTTTGCAGGAATTCATTTTCATCCTGCATCAATTTTCCATTGTTTGCCCACATCAAGTTGTTTGAAGTTCAATACACAGTATAATTTGGAATTGATGTGTTAGTTTCTGATAGTCGTTTTGTTTATTTGCATTCATTTGGTAGTTTTTTTGTTCATAGTTTATTTTTAATTCACTCATAATTAGAACATCGGGACAATAATAGTTTTGTTCTGCATGTACACCACAAATTACAGATTTGTTTACCAACGGATTTTGTGACAAGATATGATTAAGTCAAAATTAAACAAATCAACTAAAAAAAATTCTCTCTCTTTCTTTTTGCTACCTCACAAATCTGTAAAAGAATCTGTAAATGGCGATATACAAATAGCATTCTTGACCATTATCTCGTACGCTTATGATAGTTTGGTAATGTGGGTTGGATATGATTTACTTTTAATTTTCGATCATTATTATTTTGTTCTTTCTTCAAATTGAAATTAAAGGATTCTTTCCTTTTTCCTATTTGTCATTTTATTTTTCATCTTAATATCTGTGACCGCCCCACCCCTATCCCCCCTTGCCCCTCGGGGGGCCCAAAAAAAGAATCTTTGCGTCTCAGAAGCTTTCAACTTTATAATTTTTCTTTGTACCTTTTACTCTTGTGTTTTGTCTGCATTCCATTGATCAAACTTGTACAAGTTAACCTTAGTTTCAAAATCTTGTAATGATCAAGTGATTCACCAAAATCTTCATTTCGAGGATGGGATTGAGGAAGAAAAGAGATTTACCAACATCTTCCTTTCGGCCCATGTTTGTGTAACGTTGTTTATGTGTTGGACATTGGTCGCAGGGGTGGACCTGGAGTGGGTTAGGGGGTCACGTCACCCCCTAGTAAAAAAAAAAAAAAACAATATATATATAATTAAAATTAGAAAGTGAAAGTTTAAAACATACATAATGAAACCGGCAGCAAGCAACTCTCTCTCTTTCTCTCTCTCTCCAGACTCCAACCATTTGAATAAAGTACTTGTCGACTGCCATTACCATTGACCCATCGGTCCACCACTTCATCATTTCTTGCCATTACTATTGAAAGTTAGATTTTGAACCCTTAATTCAAAATGTTTACGTCCACCCTTGATTGGTTGGGTCTTATATATGGAGTATTGCGTACTAAATACAAGCTTTTAAGTAGCTATTAGTAGGAAAACATTTTCTAGTGTGAAGAGATATTCCTGGCTTGTGTAAATTGGAAATCATTAATTTGGTTCAAAATGGGATAAAGAAAAGCTTGGGAAAAGGATAAGCTAAAAGGAGAGCAGGAAAATAAAAGGTGGAAAGATGTCTATGTTTCATTGGCCATGTTTCAATTGCAACAATTATGATAAATTATTGTAATTTAATTATTTAAGCAACTTAAATAGATAATCCCGTGTTATAAAACTCGTTTTTTTAGGATCGATGAATGACATTGAGCATAATAGAGTGACAAAAAATAAAAAATAAAAAAGTTATGTGGTCGACTTTAAATTTATCAATTTATCAAGAGAATACTTCATTTTTCGACTATAGTTTTTTGGTAGAGTACCTTCAAAGCCAAGAAAAGTTTTTATAGCGTGTTTGTTTTAACTTTTAGCCTCACTACCCATCCACCACCACCGGCAGGTGGTCCCACGGTGGTTCAAGTGGAACCACCAGTCAAAAATGGGTCATTTGTCATCATAATTATCTCAATCATAGATGGTTGTTACATCTACCCGAAATGCATAATTTGAAACTTACTAGTTACTACTTTCAAAAGAATATGATAAGCATCTATAGATTCCATTTCTTAAGTTCAATATCCAATCATATAAATTCTGGTATTGAACTAAACTAAATTTGATTATGATCAAGTTTAATTATTTCTTTAAATTTGTCTAGTACTATCTCATCTTTCTAATTGAATATATAAAATCAAATGCACAAGACATAAAACAAAAGTAACGCGACATTGTTTTCGTTAAAGATGTGTTAGGCATCTCTTATGCTTCTGTTTTTCGTAGAAAAATTTCCTAAAAGGTTATATTAAATTAGCTTACTTTGAAAATTCTTCTAAGTAGAGAAAGTTTATTCTAATAAAAAAAAAAAAACATTTTAATCTTAAAAGCCATGTAGAACAAACCTAAATACTATTGAATTCGAGAAAGTCACCATGTTGCAAGAAAATATTGGACATTACAATATATACTAAATTCAGAATAGGATATTTAAATTTAAATACACATATTTGATTCCATTTATAGTTGAAATATTGCAATATAATATATTCACAATGGGTAAATAATAATGCAAGTCATTCCAATGAGAATATGGTCGGTTACCTATTCTTCATGCTACCTCAAGAATTTACATGCATTGAGTCCCTCAAATATTCTTGAATCTTTAGCCTTTGGATTCAAGTATATGCTCTCAACAAGCAAGTAAAAAATCCTTATTTTGTCAAAAAGAATCTTTAAAATTACTTTTTATATTGACAAAACTTATAAAAAGTAATTTTAAGCACACGATCAAACATCGTGCTTTCACAAACCAACTTTCAACTAGTCCTAAGAATACTTTTTCACAAAATCATGTCTCACATTCGAAGAGTAATTTTGTCAAAACCTAATCACTTCATACACAACAAAATTAATTCCATTGAACCAAGCCCCCACCCCACCCCCATATATACAACAAAGTTTTAGTATAAATGTGACATTACAAGACGTCCATAGAACTCCCTAGCCCTCTTCTTATCTTTCAAAAATTTGTAACATAATAAAAGACGTCCATAGAACTCCCTAGCCCTCTTCTTATCTTTCAAAATTTGTAACATAATAAAACAAAACAATCATGTCGGCCAAGGACTGCGGCCACCACGACGAGGATCGGAAAAAGTTCTACCGCCGCCTCTTGGCCACTTTTCTCGTATTCATAATCCTCATCCTCTTTATCATCCTCCTCATCTGGCTTATCCTCCGACCCACAAAACCGCATTTCATCCTCCAAGACGCCACCATCTATGCCTTTAACATCTCGACTCCAAGCTCCCTCACTTCCAACATCCAAATCACCATTTCTTCGCGAAACCCTAATGACAGAATCGGCATATACTATGATAAAGTCGATGTATATGCCTCGTACCATGGCCAACAAATAACCCTACCAACATCGCTTCCTGCTACATACCAAGGACACAAAGACATCACAGTTTGGTCACCATTTCTGTACGGAAATGCAGTTCCCATTGCACCATTTCTGACCGTTGCTTTGAATCAAGATCAGCTTGCAGGGACGGTGTTAATCAACATTAGGGTTGATGGACGTATCAGATGGAAAGTTGGGTCTTTCATTTCTGGGAGATACCGTTTGTATGTAAATTGTCCTGCTTATATAAATTTTGGTAACAAAAATAGCGGCATTGCTGTTGGATCAGCTATTAAGTATCAACTGGTGATGGACTGCCATGTTGATGTTTGATGATATTGGAGTGTCGCCCGGTGAAATAGCCATGTCTATGAAGACACTTGCACGAGGATATATAGAAGACCCTGTGAAACTTCACAGTTTGCTTCTCCTTTTTTTTTTTTTTTTTTTTGCTGTTTTTTTTGTAGTTTTCAATGTTTTATTATGGTCTATTACTTGATTTTCTAGTTTAAGACACTATGTAGTAATGTATTATGGTGTTGAGAAAGGTGCAAGTTGCCAAGAATATACATAACATTATAGTATGATATAAGTCGAGCTTGAATTAGTACTGTTTTTCGATTCCTATTTTTCTCCTTTTTGAAGAAAGGAATTGAGAAATTCAATTGACTAGCAGCACGTTGATTGAATAATATTACAGATCAAGAGTGTGGGAAAGCTAGAGCCCACACTCCATAATTTGCGATCGTAAACATGGAGTGTGGGTTCCAGAGCTACCTACACTGCTCTCGAACATTGTTGGCGATAGATAGCATTATTCATGTTAGTTGGGCTCTCGATTTTTAGATCAATTTATATGATTCAATAATTTTCAGTAATCTTTTTATGATTTGATTCGTCCAATCTAACTTTTATAACTTTTGTATAAGTAGACATCATCATGATTTCCCACTTGGAGAGGCTACCTACTACTCGCTGCATCTACCTGCCATGTCTTGACACTTTATACCAATTTGGTGGGCTCTTTGAAAGAGTCCATGAACATCTTCATTGTGTATGACTTAAGCAACACAATTTATGATTTTAAATTCACAACCTATAGATACTTAAATAAGTTGCAAATAATCATTTATAATATAAATTTATAAACTTCGTGATCAAATTCATAATTGAATGTTCAATACTTATGCTAGTTATATTGTTCTCTAACTTCTAAAAAAGGGTGGGTTAATCAGTCAGTCCAACTACCCTAAAAAAAAAAAAAAAATTGTTGAAAAGATAGCTCTATCCTTATCATGAACTCGCACAAGACATGAATATATATATATATGTGAAAATCATATTTTGTTGGAAGAAATGGCACAAGATCCTCGAACATCTTTGGCTAATGCTAAAGTTTATATTGTGTGGAAATAAGTAAATTTTAGAATAAATAATCTATGACAGTTGTAGACAAAAGTTACCTTTTTTTTTTTTTTTTTTTAAAGCTTAGGTTATATAATAATGTCAAAATGTAACAGCTCGGTTAAAATAGTTACAAGTGGGTTTGGCCCATGATGGGCTGTTCCATGGGCCAACCCACTATTTGTATCAAAATGTAAAGGGGCTCTGTTCACAGAGACCCATGGGCTTATACCTTAATAACTGGGCCCGAAGAACAGTCCCAGGAAGGCCCTCCCAAAAGCCTCCGGGCTGGCCCGTCCTAACCCGTTTAACACAAGTGTTCCATTTTGTGTTTTAAACTAAGAACACATCCGCAGCTCGAGCAGAGCGAATAACCCTTGAACACTTGGTACTTTGTTCTATTGAATCTTCTATTTTTAGTTCCTTTTTTTTTTTTTTTTTTTTTTAGGTGCTTAAGTGTTCGTTTATGTTACCCCAATTTTTGCCATCTAACTTCGTATCAACACAAGATAGAGGGAGGTGCCTCTTCTATTAGACCTTCATGTAAGTTTTTTTCTACTTACTTCCTACATTTGCACAATTGCACTGTTAAGTTTTTGTATAAATGCCACAGGGAAATTATATGGCTAGATTTGTGACTGAAGCCCTGTTCTGTAGTAAATATGAATTTTGTCTTGTTTATTTCACGATTTTGGTAATAATTTCTATTATTTCTTGGAATGAAATTTTCCTTTCGCGGGTTTCCTTCTGTAATGATGAGAAAATATGTTTCTTTCTGTGGAAATTCTCTAGACTGTTCAAGAATCCTTTTCCATGTAATTTTGTCGAGGTTCAAGGTATGATCATCATCCTTTACAATTGCTATTTTATACATCTTCTGGATTTCATAGATTAATCATTGTTGATTGAATACTATTTGCTTGAATGTTAATCTATTTTCAATGTCCAAACTTGTGCTATTTAGTAAAATTCAGAAGTTCTTGTTTTAGGGTGTGTGTTTGTTGCATATGTAGTTCCTTGAATAGGCATAAAATTCTAATTTCAAGTCCTTTATATCTACATTCTAATAATACTATAATTTATGTATTTAGCTGAGGAAGAAGTAAGTTTGTATACAACTGTTGCTCGCCTGTGTCTGTCCCATGGCTAACATACCGCATGTTGGGGATAAGGTCTTTTACTTTTCTCAGGGTCACTGGAGTACTAATGTGCCACATAAGGTATGGAATTCAGTTGTCTTTCTGTGTAGTCAATCAAGTTAAAATGAAATGAGAACATAGTCCCTTGAAAACTGTGCATATGATTACAGAGATGACATGAGGAATTATATAGTTCTAAATGAACTTCTTTTATAAATTTCTACAAGTGATATTTTGGAGTAGCAGCATCTAACCAACTATATATGTGCGAGGTTATGACATGGAGTTTACTGAAAATGTATGTTCATGGTTGGTTCTTTGACTAAAATATACTTGTTGCATTTTACATTTATTAATATCAGTTCTTTTTAGATTTTAGGCCACTTATATTTTCATTTACTATAGTTTTACTATTAAGATGCACTAGTTCTAATTTTTTGTTGCTCACATGAGTTCTTCTCTACTATTAAAAGCATGTCTCTATAATGGAATAGTTTGTAGTAAGAGAATGAAGTCACACTAAGCTGATGAGATAGTAGTTATGAAAATTCAATTAAAAAATTTTGTGTCTTGGAAGGATAAGCTATGAAAAACATTATGGTGAACACAAGAAGAGAGAGAATGGAGAGCAGAAGAGAGAGAGGAGATGGGAGAGAAAAAGGGGAAATGAGAAATTAGAGAAAAGAATTTGAGAAGAAAATTT